AACATAGATGCAGCCGACAAGGTAAGTCGGACTGCCTTAGTTTTGACTTGATGAGGTGCGTTGCCGAAGTTATTCATTCCATTAAACCGCCGACCTAAAATTAAACACGCTCATACGTGTCTCCATGCATTCCCAATCTTTTTTAAATGACAGTCTGCTTTGCGAATGATTCTTGATCAGGGGCATTGCTTGAAGTGTTGCATGCCTCTCCCTTTAGGAAGTGGTCTGAGGTAGTCCTCGCCCGAGTGCACAACTCGGATTTCAGAAGTCGGGCCGTCTCCACCGAATCGGCGAAGTACCTCCCCGTAGAACGGTCCAAGCAACGAACCCCCGCCCCAGATGCTTCCTGAAGAAAAAAGAATGTGTTCACCGCAAAAAGGTTTCAATTATTCTCATCTCCTAAGTCCTGGGTAACTTAGACGAAAAAGATTTCAGGAAGGGCAAAGAACGAAAAGGGTCTTTTCTCAGAAGAAGACTGAGTCCATTTGACATTATCTACTCTATTTCAATCGAATTCATTCTGTGACACACGCTGAATAATCTTTTTCGAAACAACAAGTTCATTTTGGCAAGCAGGTAGGTGGAGGGTAGAAAAAAAGACAATCTTTTTCATTATCCCATGTAGACACCTTGCAAGCATTCTTCTACCTACCTGCAGAAACCGCAAAGCAAAAACAAACAAGTTCAAAGGAAACCAGTACAATTTCATACTCGAGTCAGACTTTTCCATTCACATTTATGACTCACGCAACTTTCCTCTACCTTTTCTTTCGAACATTCAAACGAACAGGGTCAAGCAAAGTGGTGGTTCACACAGGTATGAAGAGAAGTCTGAGTCATTCTACTAATCTTGAGTGAAGCTTGGTCCGGTTCACTCAAGAAAGCCGAGTAATATTTCAATCAGAAGAAAATAATCGCCGTAGAATATGCGGCTCACAACTCCACAAGTTGTGGCCTCTCTCCTGAATCAAGGTCCACGTCCTTTTCCAAGTAGCCGATCACACCAAGGCCGGGTTCACTGAGAGAATCTTAAGTGGGATAACCCTCCAGGAGGGTGCTCCAAAGAATAATTCCCACGTCTTCTCAACGTCACGGACAGTCTCAGCGCAGTCCCTACTGCATCATGTCCTCCAAGGACACTCTCCAACCAAATGCAAGTCCACGTCCCCTCCAATCACCACGTCCGCTTACAATAGCCACATCAACATGCCAGTCCCACTCAGTCCCAAGATGGTCCCAATGCAGTCCCACACCATCGCCGCAATACCAGATGGTTCAGAACTCAAAACTGCTTGCACTGCGCACCGCAAAAATAAAGGTAGCCCTGGCTGAAAACCGCATGTGCCACGAGTCCCCAAAAAAATAACGATGCCCTTCCGGCGCAAACCGCAAATGCCGCAGCTCCAAAGGCCACTACCGCGAGCACTCACTCCGTGCCATCTTCACACCGTCGGTCCACACATCAGTACCGCACATTCCCAAATGTGCACCAGTGTTAGCCCAACCTGTGGGCCCTATTAGAATCTACCATAGTTGCCGCACACCACAAAAAAAAGCGTGGAACTGCCGCTCGCCGCGCCGTCAAAACCGGTACCACGCCGCCGTGCTAAATAATATTAGCAGCAGTTCCCACCAAAGTGTCGCTGCCGCCGTACCAAAATTTTAGCAGTGTAACCTTACAAAAAACCTCATCATTGTCGTGCCGCCAAACAATCAGCACCTCCCCTTAGGGAGACCCTGATGCCACCATGCATTAGTTCGGCAGCAACCCCCCCATCAAAGCGCCATTGCCGCCGTCGCCGTGAAAAACCGGCAACGCCTCCGCACCAGTGCCGTTAAAACCAGTGCTGCCGCCACAAAAATCCGGTAGCGCTTCCGGATCACTGCCAGAAAATTCACAGCTGCTGCCGAAAAAATTCGGCAGCGCTCCCGCAGTACGTCAACAAAACTGCCATCGCCGCAAAAACTGCGTAGCATCTCCCTAGCACCTCTCCAACCATGGCTGCGTTGCCGTGATGGCTGCACAACACCTCCCTTGCGCTGCTGCCAACAGTCGCGGCTATGGCAGCACGTTTCTCCACCAGCTATGCCGCAGCTGCATCACTCCAGCGGCCTTCTCCCTCCTCCTGCAGACCTCCACTCTCCACTAGCAGCACTTCCACTCATCCTCCTCACCGGCGGCACCGCCCCAGAGCAGCAGCGAGCTAGGAATGGCTGTACCCAGCCAGACTGCAACCTGTTCAAAAACGAACAGGTAACCCCTAGAACCTAGTAGAGGCTGCACCTGTTCCACGGCCGCGGCCATATTCGCGGTCGTTTCCCCTATCTCTCCTTTTCCTCCCTTCTTCTTCTTTCTACCCCCTGTATCTTCCCTGAACCCGCGGCCACGTACGTGGCCGTTACTTTTTTTTTTCCTTTTTTCTTCCTTCTTTTTCTCCCCTCTTCTTCTTCACCCTGCCCTCTCGTTTTCCCCTTGGTCATTTCACGGAGTCGAACTAGAGTTGAGCTCAACAGGGGATCATTCCCCTGTCCTACCGCACGCCGGTACCTGGCCGCCAACAGTGCCAGGTATGGTGTCATTCTGCTGCCCGTTCTCAAAACACAATGGGCGCAGGTAAGCTGAGGGGAGAGGAAAGGACTAACAAAAAAGAAAAAAAAAACAAGAAAAAAGAAAAAGAAGAAACTCTATAAAAAAAAATATAAATGTGCCCTTTCCCTTTCCCCTGTGCTCTGCTGCAACCCGTTCCCCAGAGTGAACGGGCACAACCTCCGACCAACATCAACATGGGGGGGATAAAGGCGCGGCCGCGTATCTTTCCATGTTCTAGTGGAAGATTCATTCGATTTTGCTCGTCCCTTCAATGGGGCAACAGCGTGGGGCCGACGAACTGGTCTCTCTCTCTCTCTCTCTCTCTCTCTCTCTCTCTCTCTCTCTCTCTCTCTCTCTCTCTCTCT